AACTCTTAAAAATCTACTAAATCAAAGTAATCCGAATGTAATTAAACAATTACTAATAATATTCACTTATATATGTTTTTTGACAACTATCTTTTATGATATTCACTGGGATCATGTATGGTGGAATCGTTCAACTCCGATTTGTCATGTTGAAGTTGTTTCGGTGTTTTCGTTCATTTTCCTTATAACAAGAAATATAAAAGACCAGTACAGTCATTTGTTGACAACGTTAGCAAATTAACACAGCCAGATACTTTTAAACCGTAGTTATAAACTTGTGATTGAATGTTAGCCAGTGGGTTCTGTTATGTGTTTGTGAAATTGTAGTCTTTGCTGTAATTTTTTGTATACACTGATTTCTCCTTCAATCAATTTGCCATTATGTGTTCTGAAGACAATCATGAGTAGAATAGAACAGTGAAGTTCTTATCTATGAGGCCAATTTCATGTACGACGTGTACATGAATCGAATATTTGTGAGAAGCATCATGTCTTATTACATTATGAAGTTATCCTTGAAATTAGGCAGTAATCTGGTTTGAGAAAAGTTTATCTTCACAACCACATCTATTACTATTCATTTCTCATACAATTAATATGAACATGAGTGAGGAACATTCTTTGATGTTTTAAGGGTATAAAATATATTTAAATCCCTCTACTCTCCACTGTTACCTGTACCGTTTTCCCACCAATTAAAGGCGTCATTTTAGCCGCCAGTGAAATGCCTATTATTGGACCCGCAGAAGTAATTAGTTTAGTTCGGCGATGTCAGTTCTAGTTAGCTTTGTTGTCAGCCATGTTTCATTTAGATAGTAAAACTGATCTGAACTTCAGAGAGCTGTTCATTGCTGTAGGAATTTTGACGAAAGCGTCACTCCTGAGACAACTGAGAACTTACAAGAATGCAACTTCTGCCACTTCACAATATGAGACAGTAATCGAAATCCAAATTATATTTATATAAAAAATGCATGTGAAAGGAAATGGGTTCTCCAGCGAAAAACAACTCAAACTCAACTGGAGTTTGTATCGAAGCATATTTTTTATCCATAAGTCTAAGCAGCCTGTTGGTGGTGGTTGCAAATCCTTTATATTTGTTCGACTGATAGAAGGGTCTTATGCAGTATCAAGATGGTCAGTGAGTCATAATCATGAGTTACGGCATATCGCATATGAGAAAGACCCTAGCTTCCGTCATTTCAAAGCCTAGCAGAGGAATACGATTCATCTTCCATTTATTTTCTGAACTGCAGTTTTTGTTGTCATTAGTTTTGTATATGAAAATAGTAGAAAGAAAAATAATCGCCCAAGGTATTTCGGATATGTGATCAGGTTTATTTGGAAGATTGAAACTTCCAAGTCAATCGAACCTTGTTTATCATCACTTTTTAGTATATTATTTTGAGAGGTTAGTTATGTATACCATTGAGCCTAGCGGTGCAGCAGAGACACATCGTGAAGTTAACAGTTGTCTGGAAAGCTACTTTTCTCAGCGGTAAATAAACGAATCAGACTCGTCGACTTTTCGATGTCGTAAGCGCTGATAGTATTTAAAAGTGTAACAAAGAGCGCATTTCTCTAAACGAGATAGTGGTATTAAATGTCTACACATTTAATTTGTTCAATAGTTGACAAATGGGCAGTTTCGAATGTTTCCTATTTTTATCTCACTTATCCGTCCAGTGATTCAGTTGATAATTAAGTCATATTCGAATTTATCCTTGGCGGGATAATCTGTGAATGGCTGCACATAACTGAAAAAACGTAGTCCCGTATATACGTGAATAATATAAATAGTTAAGATTATCGCTTGTTCTAAGACGTCAAAATTTTTCTGTGAAGTAGAGTAAGACTGAGAAACACGATAGATCAAATGAACTCTTTGAACAGTAATCAATGTTTATATCTCTAATTCCTTTTAAGTGACATTACAATCTACTATCCTGTTATTCACTATCATTGCGTGGGACTTCATGAATAATTTCATCATACATATATATATTATCACTTTATTATTAAACAAAATGATTAATATGTCGGCACTTAATTTCTCCGGTAAATTCTTAGTTACAGTATTATACTTGTGCACATACTTTACATTTTGAATTTTGTTGGCATTCCACATCAATTAACTCTACTTCTCATAGAATTAACTGTTCAACATTGACTTGTTTTGAAACATATTGTTTTTGATTGATGAGCAGTCAGCTCACTAGCAGAAGTTATATACCATTAACAGTCATAATTAGGCTGGATGCCTAAAAAGTTTATTTTTCAAAACTGATGAACTGACTAAAATAACTGTTCATGGTCCTTGACCAATAAAATGGTAAGGGTGTTATTTTGACAGTGACTATATAATTAGTCTGCATCACATAGGAAAAAGGCAGAACGCTCTAATCACATGAGAGGTTTCTGGGAAAATAAGGAACAGAAATTTATGAATTTTATTACCCTCAACTCCACCCGGTAGAAAAGTTGTCAACATGTATAAAGAAACTCAAATCGCAGACCTATCATTTCACATTAAAAAATTTATATAGTATTTTACGTGTATCAAAAAGTAATTGTTCTTAACAAGGATTTAAACATCGAGAATTCAGTGAGACCATCAAATGTCAAAAATGCTCAGTGAGGTTCCAATAAATGAGATATTTCTTTTGCTCCTAGAAGACGGATTCTCTTCCAAATGCAGTAGGAATAACATGACGACGAAACAATTGTCACAAATAAGGTTGTTTTTTTTCTAAAGATAGTTTCGCTAAAATTCATGTGACAAATAATCAAATTCTAAACGTCATACAGTTATGAATTACAAGCGATTATAAAAATGTTTTTATAATGAACCCCCTGTAAATAATTCTTTCTATAACTATACTTACCCTATGACCTGATGTTTACATTGACATGATAAGAATCTGAATACATTTCTACGTATAGAAATTTATTAATGACAGTATTATTAATGACGCTAATGTATGATGCTCAGTGAATAGTTAACTGCGAAGCTGATAAATATCTCACCATTGATCGGACTTAAACTTGGTGGTAAAGACTTTTCAGTTGGACCACTTGAAGCTGAAGTTTGAAGCAATGTTCACAAATTATAGATCATAAAAAAACAGTATTTTGTGCATTTTAATAAGCTACTGGTTAGTGATAATTGGTTATCTACTGTACTGTACAAAAGAAACAGAAATCCGATCAGCACGTTTCATTCCAATGATTTCTAATTCACAGAATCAATTAGAAGATGAATCAGTGTATTCTATCTAAATCAAGAAATAAAAAGTAAGTTCACTTTAAATAAACTGTTATTGTTAGGTCTGATTCACTCCAACTTCTGTGTAATGTTTTATATTACTTATTATCATTATTCAGCAAATAGTTTTATTCCTAGCAATTTCTACTCTTATGTGGTAACGCACGTTGGTCATATAATATTCTGAAATGTTTACACATACTTATAACATTCATTCATTAATAATGACTTGACATCAATTATTGTAGTAGTTATTCGAAATTTTGTGCAGTCGTTTAACCCCCGTTCAAAGTCAACAGTTTCCATATTGCTTTCTCTTAGTTCGATTTTTGCTTGTTAGTTAACCGTTATCGAGTTTAAACACAACCGACTGTCTTCATATTTCGAACAAAAAGACGTTGTAAACACTGAAGACACCTCACAAGTTGTGGTTCGTAACTAAATTTTGTCTATTATTCACTAAATAATAACTATTTGAGACAAAACGATGTTTGTGAACTTCGATTTTTCACGTATCTCAATTGAGTGACATGGACGCTTCCATATGCTTTTGAAATGTAATATAACCACATTTTATGAACTGGAACTTGTGTTAAGATTTGATTATGTATTCAACGTATCAATCTAGTCGTTATGTAACACAGATCAAAATGCATTTTGTTAACAACAATATATAAACATATAGATTTTCATGTTCTCTAGAAAATTCATGACTATTTTGTGACTACATTTACAGAAGACCACATTGCCTATTGAGAATTCAATGAATATGAAAACTTGAAAGATGTCTGCTTGTTGCAGATTTTAATTCTCGATTGTGTGTTGTCAAAGTTCTAGCTTATTCAGGACTTTTACAAATACACAATCTACTTAGTCCTTACATAATTTTGACTAACGATTTATTCTCCACATAATTGTATTTTATTCAGGGCAATACTTATACTCAATAGAATTTCATCAATAAAGAGTCGATATTAACGATCCGTTAACATGAGTTATCAAAAGTCATGTCAGTGGGAGATTTGATTCACATATAACAAAGCGATTTGATGAGAGACAATAATGTAAGCTTTCTGTATGTGGCTATTTGTTTACTGAAATCCGATTTATGCCACATAATCTAGGTATATTGATAGTCTCGATCCGTGGTTATAGAGCTACTTTATGAGTAAGTTTCTGATTGTAAGAGTAAGGTGATTTAGACCAAACATACAGGTATGACGTTTAACAGTGATGAAATTTTTAAGTTTTATATACTAAAATGTCTAACCCATCAGTTTTGTCGTAAGCCCTAATTTCCTAACGTGTTCCGGTCCTAAGATGTTGATTCTGAATATATTTTATTTTACTTTATCGTTCTGAAGTATTTCGTTGCATAATATCGTCAATCTTTAATTATGAGCAATGTGTTATTTTCATTCTTCACTATTTGCTTCACAGTCCTTTATTCCTGTGATAGATTTTAGGTAATCTCTATGTGCATTCTCTTCTCAATGCATCTAATTTTATTTGCCATGCAATATATACTTGTTTTCACGTATTCTCCCAACGTACAACTAGGCATAGTTGCAAAATGAAAGTAAATTTCAAGCATTCCATCAAGTTAACTTTCTTTAGTTTATCCAAAATAAGTTAAAAGATGCAAAAATAACAACGAATTCACAATCAACAAAATGGATACAGATTTCAAATAAACTAATAGACGAGTATCATTATTACTGTTTGAATGTTTAACTTAATTTTGGTTTGGTATGATCGTTATTTCTATAAGTTCAATATTCGTCTTGATCAAAGTACATGGCATATACACAAATATTAAATTAGTATTATTTTCATACACTTTATAAGATAATTGTTCTGGGATGAAACGAGTCTTCACTCCATGTGGATAATGAATCGACATTGGAACAAAAATTTCTGCAACTAACAATGTTGAGTTCACATTTGTACAATTCTTCTGTGTTGGTACAAAAGCATAATAAAACACACCTGAATCTACATCGAATCTCAGTTGGACAGGTTGACCGGCAGTTGATTGTGGATATGTACGACTGAACGATTTCAACTGCATGAGAGAGAAGAAATTACGAAGTGAAACAATGTATTGCAATAATGTGAAATGCATATGTAAGGTACTCAATTTGAAGACAGTGAAGATCATAACCTGATAACTTAATAACCAAAGGAAGTAAGGAAGATTTAGAGAGATATACTAGGATGAAATAGTTATTCATATATTTCTAAAGGAACCATGAATAACTAATTTAATCGTACCTGACATAAATGAATAACCAAACACTGATAACTAGCAAGTTATATGATAACTAACTCCGCCTGTAGCTCTCCTACAGTTACTGACGGTCCCAAGCCCGGGTAAAGGAGGAGGGTTGGGCATGGGGTTAGCGACCCCATCTCGTAGAAAAGCTAACTCGCTAAAAAAACGCTAACCAGAAAAAATAATTCAAACCATTTAACTCTGCCCTCCGAGTTGAAGGAATAATTACGAGGTCTCATGATGAAAGCCGAAATTCTTCGGAAGTCACGAGACCGATGCACCTTCTAACAACCAGAGCAAAACTCTTTATAGGTACATGGAAAGTCCGGACAATGTGGGAGACAGGAAAGACCAGCCAAATAGCAATGGAATTGAGGAGATACAACTTGGCAGTACTCGGAATCAGCGAAACCCATTGGACACAAACTGGACAACAAAGGCTAGGTACAGAACAGATGCTGCTGTACTCCGGTCACGAAGGGGAAAATGCTCCACACACTCGGGGAGTTGCTCTAATGCTGTCCAAAGAAGCACGAAATGCACTTGTGGGATGGGAATCTCATGGACCCAGGATAATCAAAACATCATTCAGAACAAAGAAGAAAGAGATCACAATGAACGTTATCCAATGTTATGCACCCACCAATGATAGCAACGACGATGATAAAGATCAGTTCTATGAAAGGCTGCAATCAATTATGGAGAAGGGCTCACGAAAGGACCTCACCATCCTTATGGGAGATCTAAATGCTAAAGTTGGAGTGGACAACACAGGATATGAAGATATAGTTGGACGACATGGATTGGGAGTGAGAAATGAAAATGGGGAGAGACTTGCAAACCTATGTGCTTTCAACAAACTGGTTATAGGAGGCACAATATTCCCACACAAGTGCATACACAAAGCTATATGGATCTCACCAGACCAAACCACAGAGAACCAGATAGATCACATTTGTATCAACAGTAAGTTCCGAAGATCAATGGAAGATGTGAGAACCAGGAGAGGAGATGACATAGCTTCAAATCACCACCACGTTGTGGCCAAGATGAGACTGAAGCTAAAGAAACACTGGACAACTGGACAAACAGCACTACAAAGGTTCAATACAGCCTTCCTTCGAGATATTGACAAGCTCCATGAATTCAAGATAACTCTCAACAACAGGTTCCAGGTATTACAGGATCTACTGAAAGAACACGAAACTACAAAATACATACATACATACACAAAATTCATCCAGTCTCCTTTTATTTTACATTGTTGAACTTTTCACTTGATTCTCATTCAACTCACTCATATTATCCTGTTTACAACAAAAATATTCGACATCCAAATATGACTGAATTAAAAAGTAGTAGAGATTTTGATGAAATGATTGTTAAGGAAAAAACACTATGTATATTTCTTTGATGATTTTGATTTTGATTGCTTCCCTGAAGAGGTCCAGACAAGTTAGCTGGACGAAAAGTTGGAATTATTTATAGTTCAATCGCTATGACTATTTCAATTATAACATTTTTTCACATATAACGAATTCTTATTTCTTATGTTTAATTATTGATAAGACTTTTGTTATTGTAATTTCCTATTCTTACTACCATCAGTACACCTATCTTCCCACTATCAACTTGTAATTTTAACTATTATTAGGCTCGGTTACATATTCTATTTCATTATGATTATTATTGACTCAAATAGCCTTGTGATTGGTCTAACATTTTCATATAAACATTCATGTATATGTAGAGTAAAGCCTGATGACGATCTAATTGAAAACAATATTCTTCGCTTACAGATGTTGTTCTAATTATACTGATGACACTGTTCAGAATGAAATTTATAAATTTCCTCACCGTACAGAACATAATGACTTCAATAAGAAATTTGACATAAATTCAAAAAAGATATTATCAATTACAAAACCTACGGAAATGTTTTTAACAATTAAGTTAGAAAATAATTCATATCCGTCCCAGTACGTCCATGATTCGAAGTTCCTGTCTGCTGCATTCAGCACAGCATTACATTCAACCGTATTTATTGAATCTGGATTACCATCAGGAAGACATAGACCGAATTCTGTTAAAAACCGTCCGCCACCAGTGGATTGAACTATACTTCTCACATTTTTGAATGTATAATTTAAGAGAAGCTAAACACAAGCAATAACAATATCAACATTGATAAGTATGTGAATGATTTCTGCAATGAAACTAGACTACAATAAACTGCATACACTGTGTCAAAGCAATAACACATCATCCATTTTGTTCATTGACCTATCATTCATTACATTTATGACTTAGTTATGAAAAATTGCAAAAAATCAACAGACGTTCAGTATTCTCCATCTTCAAATGATTATGATTATATTTATGTTCACAAGTACTTACATGATCGAGTGAGGAAAGGCACAAAAATTGAGTGATTTCGAATTCTGTGGTTTGATTACAAAGTAACTGGCTAGGAAAGAAGATGATTCTACAAATCAAAAAATCAGTCATTTCTTAGCAATCCATAAATAAAGATTCACACAACACCGAATAATCAGTTCAGTAAGATGGAAATGAACTAATACCAACAACTGGTATCTTGTCAAGCAATGACCATTATGTCTATCTGACTAAATATCACATTTACGAGAAATCCTCCATAAGCTTATATGATTCACCATATAAGTTTATTGACAACGTTCTCGCGTTCACAATTGTTGAACCTGAACAATATATATGTAACTGATGTTCATTTGTGAGGAGAACTCATTCAAACATTGTAAATCTTAGTTGATATGTTACGATATCAGTAAACTGTTAATCAGTTATGTGTATCACAAATGATGGAATGCATCACATCACTGAGTCAGAATACACGTATTCGTTGAATCAACTCAAACGACTTACATTAGTGTGAATATTTTTTATTGTTGTGTATGATGTAAATGAATAGGGCCTATTACTTGTTGTCACATTTTGCATATCTAATCATAGTGTTTACATTTTCGTTCTTAGATGACTCTGCAGTACTTTATTGAGTTCAGTTCCGGTGTCGCGTTCACCCTAATCAGTTCATCATTTAATAAGGACACAATAAACATTCATCCATATCAGTTGTAACTATCATTTGTATTTTTAATGAAATATTCACGGTTTCAACTAACATTATACATTCTGTATATGCAGACCACAAATTGGAGCTGGAACTAAACAAATTAACTTGTTTGTCAATTTTGTTTGTATCAATGTTTTACAAGTTGGTGTGAATGACAGAATGGAAGTGGACTTCTCTTGTATCTGTCGATGCAACGATCAGATTAAAATTCCATTTGAATTCATAAACTATGGATTTTGTCAACAAACAACATATGTACATTTGTATGCAATATACTATGGTGTTTGTGAATAGGTTTCAATAGGTAAATGAGTTTAATGGAAACTACAAAACAAAGGTTTTTACTTTGAAAGTTGACATAAAATATATATTAATCCAATGCCTCTATTTCCACTTCCACTGTTAGTTTGACTATTTGACTATATCTTAAGAATACTTAGATGACAGAATTCATAATTATCATGGCTTTATAGAATTATTCGTCAGTGTTGCTTATTCATCTACGCCCAATTTCAGACACACTCATTGTTATAACGTTTGCCAGTTACGATGATTCATAGAACATAAATGTTACTAATTTATAGAAGGAATGTAGAAATTTCTCATCTTATTTGACTTGTTTTAATCAATTACAAAATACACTATGGTTCTAACAATTTTGCAAACTTAATCATCATATTGCTTACTGAGAGTATTTCCATGGCGAAAAAATAAATAATTAGCTAAATCGTAATTGACAAACATGAGCAAGTCAATGGGTGTTTTTTAATCAATTCCAAGTAAATCAATTCTAGGTAGTTAAATTTCAAGTTTGATATAAAGTAGGAAAATCAAAAGGCTGCAGCGAAAAATGGTAATCGTCGAATGTCAAACTACTAATCTGAAAAATCACTCGCTAAGACCTATTGAAGCTTCAGTTTTGATTTCGGGTA